CCCCAAAACCCCAAAACCCCATAGCTTATTATTATTTGAAATCGCAATAACTCAAATTTTAAAGTTATTAAATTAAGGTTATATTTAGATTGCTCATACCTTCTTACACTATCTATTGCTTTTTATCATTGATACTACTTTCTACTTTTTGATTTATTCAAAGATTTTTGCTTGGCATCCTCTTCATCGCTTGAAGGATTGATCATTTGAATTTTAGCGTTTAAACTCTTCATATACAAATTATTGACTTCAATCTACTTTTCTAATGCTTTTTGTGGATCATCCTGCAGTTCCAAGTATTTCTCTTCAAACTTTGCAAGCTCCTCAAACTTTTTAGCTTTCATATGAACGATCTCCATTTTATCCTTGCTAGAAAGGTCCTTACTTCTTATATATCTTGAAACATCTGATTCATCTATTTTACCTAGATTGTTATTTTATTGAAGAACTTCACGAAGATAGTCTTTCTTTTAAATAGAGGACTTGATTTATTCCTTTTTCTATTGCTCTTCTCTTTATATTGAATAATCGCTTTTCCAAACAATAGTTCTTAATTATTTTTAACTTCTTGAAATATTATCATCCTGGGAATCATTGCCTCTATATCTGCTTGTTGAAATTGAGTTTTTTATTGATGGCAATCTCTTACTATGCAAATTAGAATCTGAATCGATTGACTATAAATTTGCTTAAGATGCAGAACCTAGAATCAAACTTCTATCGTATCTCTGCTAAATACTATTCTCCTTTTTAGTTTATATAATTGGAGTAAGTTGATTTTTATTAGCAACATAGTAGTTAGGAATGACCTCCTTAACCTTTTCAAAATATAATCTCATTTTATCATGTATTTTTTTCTTTCCTTCCTCTAACTTTATTCTTTCCTCTTTAGTTCTGTATTCTTCTTCAATGATTTTATTAACTTTAATTTCTTTTCCTCGCATACTAAAGTCTTTAATGAACTACAACCTATATTTCTAATGGTTAATAATAAAAGTATTACTTCTTTTGATCTCTCTCATAATTCTTAAGCTTAATCTAGCTTGTGTAATTCTTACAATGTTTTCTTATCTAATTCAAATCAACATGACTTGAATACTCTCTTTACTCTTGTAATTTCTCTTGTCTTTACTATATTTAAGGATCCTCTACCAGTATTTTGTACTAGTTCTCCATCTCTAAAAATAATGGTTTTTTTTAAAGAATTTCTTTCACAGCCATATCTTCTCTTTGTTTCTTCAATGATCTCTCTCTTTCTCTGCTCTTAATTTTTTCCTTTAATTCTAAGAATTTCTCAAGGTCAAATCTAGAATGCTTTATTAAATACTTTCTTTCATTATTCTCTCTTATTTTTTCTTCCTCTTCTTCTCTTGAGTTTTTATTTAGTTCATCAATGGTTTTATCTCTTTATAGCTTCCTTTATTAGTTATCTCTCTTCATTTTTTTAATAAACATTTAATGAGCATTCTCATAATTGTTAAATTCACCTACCCCCTCCTTTTAAGTTTAATTATCATTATTTCTTCTAGTTTTAAATCTTTATGAAGCAGCTCTGCTAGAGTATAAATTGTCATTTTAATTATTATAGGCACTTTACTCACTCTGCAAACATTACAGAGAGTAATTGTGCTGCAGCAAAGATTGTTTATTTTTATTGTAAAAATCTTGCATCCCAAGTGTCTAAACTACTTCATCTTCATTATCCCCTAATTTATCGAAGCTTTGTTCAAGAAGGCTGTTCTTATCTTGAAATTCTTTCATTGATAAAAGATTTTGCTTTATCCTTAAGTGCACCAAACCTTCTTTGATTTCTTATTTTTTCATTTAAGCTTTTTGTCATTTAATAATATCCTAGAAGTTTTCTGAACTTTGAGAAATGCTAAATTGTCCATTAGTTATGTTCTTTGATATATTTTCTTGAATAAGGCTAAACTACTATTAGAAAACCTATAATTGTCTTAAGAGATTTATTTAAGTTAACCTTACATTTTTATATTCAGGATGTATCTCTATTTCCTTATAAATTTCTTATAATTTTTCGCGATTTATTATGTTTTGCATAAGTTATTTTTTATTACTCTTTGCTTAATCAAAGCTTTAGTAATTATTTCCTTATTCAGATTACGCATTTTCTTGCTTTAAATTATTATATTAATTGTCGTCATTTTCATTTTACTATCTCATTTTTAGGTTCTATTATAATTTTAATTTTAATTAATTTAAAAATGAGAAAATCTAATTTACAAAATCTAATATTACTTTTTAAGTTTTAAGCATTGGGGTTTTGGGGTTTTGGGG